CAGGAAACATCAAAAGGAAAACATATGACACTCATAAACAGCAAAGTATTGACTTAGCTTTCCTTGGTCAAGTTTTGACCATAAACTACTGTAATCGAAAAAGTGACATAGACATGTCGCGTTTCCGTGATTGGATGGAAGATTAAAGTGATGGTATAGAGAAATTTTTTAAGCCTTTGGCTCTACAAATATTCAAGACACTGAAAATGATCATTATTATATCTTGAAAATACAATTAATTGCTATCTATATAACGACTTCATCCTTGTATATGATACCAAATATACAGTTGTACCATTATAAAAGCACAGTTACAACAATATTACAATGTTATTACAATAATATTGTTACAGTATACAATGACAATATAGCATAATGGTATAAAAAGCGAAATATATTCACACTTGTTCCATTAGTAAGCAAAAGTAAAGCACAATAAAGTTTATAACAATGATATAGATATCACAAAAGTATGTGATAAAAATGTATAGACATGATCAGTGTATTTTAAAAGTTTGAGATAGAAAAGGCAAACAAAAACATTTTTTTCTAATGATTTCCTATGCAGAAATGTGTTTGACCAAAACTGTAACGACTGAATGTAATGCAAATGTAAGATTGCATCAATAATAAACGTCTGCAAAATTTGTTAAGCAATGTGAGATGGCATTCATTGGATACAATTGCCACACTTATTTTATATTTATAAATAATTTCTGAGCCAGTTTTGAATGGTATCAAAAAGTTTATTTTTGTACAGAAATCACAATCTTTGTACTCAAATCTAAAACTGTTCTTGATTCAAATAAAAGAAACGAAAATCAGACAGTATTTCATCATAGCGCCGTTATGTCTGGTATATATACATATATTTTCAAAAATGAAAATACTTATTTTATATATATAGCGGACAGAATAATGCATGGTTTTTAGAAAATTTTTGATAGTTCTATTTGAAATGTTCAAAAACGTCTTAGAAAATAAATACTTCATTAGAATTTCTAAAAGAAAGAAATTATCTAAATTCCTTTTCACTATCTCTCTCAAAAGCAAAATTTTTGTGCCTTTATGTTCACTTTTTTTTTTTCAAACAATTTTAATAAAAACATTTTTATCATTTATATTTTCTACAGATGTAACTAACAAAATCCCATAATTTTCCAAATTCTATTCCTTTAAAATTTATTATTTTCAATATTGGAATTATTTATGGAGAAGTTTTATGATTGCTTTGGTAAATTATAGTCAATAGTTGTCGTAAAAATAATACTTACTTTGGTAAAAATTAATTATTATGAAAATAAAATATTTAGCGATGCATTTAGAATTTTCATTACAATAAAAAATTATGTAAAATAGAAGAAAATATTTTCATTTTTTGCACTTTATTCTCTAATAAAATCTTAACAAATATCCACTGTTATTGAGCTATAAATTTGAAATTTATAGAAATAAAAATGACGCACGTTTATTTTATTTGCTTGTTGCTTTTCCATTCCTTGATTATATCCAGTGCGCTTCCATTGAATGCTAAGTTAAAAGGTAAATTCCGATTGCTTTTCAACTTCAAAGTTTTTTATCGAAGTCTTAAGCAAAAAAAACATTTACGGGTAAATTTTTATTACTCAGTAATGTTCAATAGATAGAAACTGCATGATATTTAAGAGATACACATGCAAACAATTCTTAACAGCGATGGGTTCCTTCGTTGGGTAGATTTTTCGATTCTGACTTCATGAAATACCAATAAAAGTTCAAATGACATTATCTAATAGTTTGGGTAATTTAATTAATTTTGTACACATAATTTCTTAGTAAATATTTTCTTCTATGCGACATTAACATTCAGGACTGCTTGGTGAAATTGTAAATGTCCCAGAGATATTTGATGCATCTGTGGATGTAGTACACTGTGAACAACTAGAGTTAGTTTGTCACAAAAACTGCATTTATTTTTGTTCAGAAGAGCTTTATATGTAATAATAATTAATTTTATTTGAGAAAATATCGATTATATGAATTTAGTTGTCATTGACACTGAAACTTTTTGAAATATGATTGAGAGACTGTTAGAAAGCTTATTTCCAACGATCCTTCTTATTTTTCTTGTCTTGAGAAGTGCAGCTTGCGCAAGGCTTACTGTAATACATGGAAAAGTTTAGCAAATTTTGATTTAATATTGCAGAATTTCTGTTCACAAATAAGATCGTCACGATAACATGCTTCAGCTTGTTATTTTCTATCATAAGCAAAAAATAAAAGTAGCAAAAAGAAAAAGCTATATTTATTGCATTTTTCACACGCTTTCATAGTGATAAAATAGCACAAAAAGTCAGTTAGGAGAACTCAATTCTATTTTTGTAATAATCTTCAATTACTTTCAAGAGACGTATTAGTCGTTAAATCAGATTGTCGAGAATTGGAAGAACAGGTAATGAAATAAACTTTTAGGAGCAAAATTACCAACGTGAATAAAATTTTAGTTTTACCAAAATGGAATGGATTGAATACTTTTAAAATTTTATCGTTAATTTAACCAAAAATGTTAGCTTCCTCTCTGATTTTGACAACTCTATAATTTTTGATACAAAACAAATTAATCAAAACTTTTGTCGTGATTACTTTACTTCCTTACTTACTATCAGAAAGTGGCAAAATTAATGCTTATGATTCATACTAATTATGTAATCAATTCAACGAAAGCTATATTGGAAATGATGGAATTGTTATCAGTTTCTTCATCATCAGTTTGCTATGTTTCCCATAGTATTCCCACATCGCATGTGCAATCACAAAAGTAACTTACGTTTAAAATAAAAATTTTTAGTACTTTTATTGCAATAATTGTTTAAATCAAATTTACTATAGCACTGCAAATTGCTACAAAACAATACAAATGAATTAAAACAATATCGTTAATCTAACTCGTAAAATTAAACAACTCATCAGAATTCAGTAGAATAAATGGAGAAGATTTGGAAGCATCTTGG